ACAAATCACACCCCGGCAGGCATGGCCACTCCCTGGCTGGTTCCTTCCCTGGCTTAGCCACACCTTCCATTGCTCAGAGGGGGACGGAAAAGCCATGGCCCCCAGCACAGCCATGTCAATCATTGCCAAAGGCTGGTTAAGCCACGCCTCCCAAGCCAACCTGGAAAGCCCCTCCTCTTTCAGAGCCACACACACAATCGGCAATCGGCAGCACATCTGGCATTCCCGCCCTGCTGGGGCCTGGCTCCCCTCCCTCCCCAGCCGCCTGGGGCCCATATGCTAAGCAGAATTTGAGCCCCAGGCCCACAGGGGATGGGCACTGGCCATGGACCACCTTGTCTAACAACAAGGTTGTGGGGAGCAGAGGGGAAGGGCCCCTGGGCGGAGGCCTGCCTTCAGGGGGTGTGGCTGCCTGGGCTAAGCCCTGCTCCTGGGCACAAGAAAGGGGCGGGGCTTATTTTTCCAAAACTCACGTTGAAATGTTATAGGATCACAAAGTGTCTGCAGCTCTGGGGGAGGGAATGGGGGGGGTTAAAAAGGAAATATTACAAGCACAAATAAGGGGGGTATTTTATACTCATACAAATGTATTGCTGTTTAAACACAGTGGGGGGGTCTCCCCAGGCTGGCACCAGCAATCCTCACCTCCAACACTATATGGGTGTTAAACAGCCCCTGCGCCCCACCCCAGAGGTGGCTGCATCTCAGTGCAGGGTGAGGGCTCCCTCTATAAACAGCCCCTGTGAGCCACCCCAGAGACAATGGGGTGGGCCATAGGCTCTGAGGCCTTCTCCTCAAGGGGGTGCTGGTGTACGGAGAGCTGATTGCCTGCTAATGGGGACCCTACTGTGCTCCACAATGTGTCTTGTCTTTGATTTTGCTTTTTACACACTCAGTTATGCTGAAGCATTAAGTATTTATTGTACTTTTGGGCTCTTTTTTAAGACACGCTCATGACCGCGCTCTGGGCTCTGCTCCAGCTTAGAGGCAGGATCGAGACGCGCCGGAGAGCCTGGGGGCTGAGCGACATGGATCCTGGGGAGACGGGAGGGATGTAGGTGAAGAGATTTCTGGTCTGGAAGCAGAGAGCGATAAGACTGATGGGATCCGGGAAGGAGACAGAGGGACGTGGAGCCTTTCCCCTGTACACGGCACCCAACCCAAACACTGACTGGCTCAAACTGTGAGCAGTGGGCCCAGAGGCTTCCCCTGTAGGGAGCACTGGTCCTAGGTTACTTGGGCCCGGAGGGAGGGTGTGTGTGTTATTCTTGCTGATCTAGGATTGTATCAGGGCCACGTTTTTTTTTTCTTTTACTGTATAAGCCCAAAATGCTTCTTCACTCACTGCTGTCAGGTGCCCGCCGGGCACCGGCCTCCATGGGCCATGTCTGCCCGGCCTGCTCTCACTGCTGTATCCATGGGGGTGACAGAATAAAAAGCCACCTTTGAGTAAACACGTGTGCGTCTGTTTGGTGGGCGGGGAGTTCGCAGCCTCCCCAGCCACGTTCCCCTTCTGACTTGTATCAGCTCCCTCCTCTTCCGCGGACAAGGGGATGCTAAATGGAACTAGAGTCCAAGGCCAGAGATCATCTCGTCTCACCTCCTGTGTGAGGCAGGCCAGGGACCTGCCCCCGAGTAATTCCCAGCGCAGAGCTTTTCAAGTGGGGCTGCATGGATGGAGAGAGGGGTCTGTGTGGGGCTGGAGGGATACCTGGACGAGGCCACTGGGAAAAGCATTTGCGTTTCCAAGGGGATGCTAAATGGAACTAGAGTCCAAGGCCAGAGATCATCTCGTCTCACCTCCTGTGTGAGGCAGGCCAGGGACCTGCCCCCGAGTAATTCCCAGCGCAGAGCTTTTCAAGTGGGGCTGCATGGATGGAGAGAGGGGTCTGTGTGGGGCTGGAGGGATACCTGGACGAGGCCACTGGGAAAAGCATTTGCGTTTCAGAGTGACGCCAGCCGGCTCTGTATGGGCTCTCCCCTGACTTGCGTGATGAGCTGGGGGTCAGTGGCCTCGGCCCTCAGTGAAAGTCAGTGGGGCTTTAATCAGCCCCCTTCTAGGGTTGCCAGGCATCCGGTATTGGCCCGGACAGTCCGGTATTTGCAGCCTGTAAAAAAACCAGAAAATACCAGACATGTAAAATGTCCAGTATTTTCTATTTTTCTTGGACAGAAGGCTGCTTGGGACATTCCACCCCTGCTGCATCTGGTGGGGGCAGGGGTGGGGGGAGTGCCGAGTCTAGGGATTTAAAGGCGCAGTGCCTCTTTCTTTTTTTTGCTCAACCAAATTTTTCCCCACCAATTTTTGTTGTTGTTGTTGTTGTTGTTTTTTTAAGTATCTGGCAACCCTACCCCCTTTCCCTAACAGGAGAAAGAGGAAGGGCTGAAGATGAGCCAGGAGGCAGAGACTGACAGTCCCCACAACCAATGGGGAGCAACTTCTTTCCAAGTCAGCCAGATTGACAGAGCAGGTAGATCAATGAGGGAGTCAGCTAATTGTTTTGGGAAAATCCTCTCTCACTCCTATCTGGGGCAGGGGGGCTGCTGGAAGTTAGCCCCGTGGTCCATGGTATGTGGCCTCCAGGCTAGTGGCTGGGCCAGCCAGGGGCGTGCCTCTTGTCGGGCGCTCAGTGCGCCACACTGCAGAGGTGCTGCAGCAACAGCAGTTGCTCTGGTTGGCTGCGTCTAGACTGGCAAGTTTTTTCCGCAAAAGCAGCTGCTTTCGTGCAAAAACTTGCCAGCTCTCTACACTGGCCGCTTGATTTTGCGCAAAAGCACTGACGTTCTACTGTCCGAAATCAGTGCTTCTTGCGCAAATGTTTTGACGTTCCCGTTCGGGCAAAAGCCCTTTTCCGGAAATGCTTTTGCGCAGGAGGGCCAGTGTAGACAGCTAAAAACTGTTTTGCGCAAAAAACCCCGATGGTGAAAATGGCGATTGGGGCTTTCTGGTGCAAAACCGCATCTAGATTGGCACGGACGCTTTTCCACAAAAAGTGCTTTTGCGGAAAAGCGTCCGTGCCAATTTAACGGAAAAACTTTTCCGTTAAAAGCATTTGCAGGAAATCATGCCAGTCTAGATGTAGCCGTTGTGTGGCAGAGTGAGAGGGGCCTTCTCTGTCCCCGGGAGCCCCTTCCCAGCACAGATCTCACCCCTCCAACTCTCCCTCAAAGCATGCAGTCTGCTGGGACAACAGTAACTTTGCCCCCCCTGTGGCTGGACCATTGAGCAGGGTAACATGGGGAGTGTATGGCAGAGGTAGGGTGAAAGGGAGCTATCCCAGGCTTTGTAACGCCTAGTGCTCATCCCCCCCCACTATACCCACTAGGCCTCACTCCCCTCTCAGAGCTGGAGAGAGAGCTCAGATAGGAGGCCAGTTTCTCTTCATCCAGCCATGCTGACTATGCAGGATTCCTCAGGGGTTTTTTTGGGGGGTGGGGGAGGGACTACAACTCCCATAATGCCGAGGAAACCCCCTTTCCCACACACCCTTGCAGGGGCAGGTCAGCAGAACCAGAGAGCTCAGCTGGAAAACAGGGGTCCTGCTGCTGCCCTGGCTTCTCCTGTCCTACCACAGAGCGGGGGGCTGTAGCCCCCACTCCCTGCTGGGCTGCTCCATGTGGCTCCACTGCTCCCCCCATGCCCCACCCACCTGCTGCTACCTGCACCAAGTAGGTGCTGGAGTGGGAGCTTTTCCATGGGACACCCCTCCCAGGGGCTAAACACAGCTCCCAGCGCTGGGGAGAGAGGCCAGGAGTCCTGGCTCCCAGTCCCCTCCTCTCCCAGGAGTCCCTGTTGCGGGGGACCCCAGAAGGAAATGCTGGTGGTTATTTCCCAGGCTGTCAAGCAGACCGAGGGAGGGGGGGGATGCAACCCGAGCAGACAGCGGAGGGTGGGGGGGGCGGGAGGGGGATGTCTACACTGCATTTCCTCATCCGCAGACCTGGCCGTCTCCCTCGGCTTCAGCGCCAAGACTCCAGCCCGAACCACAACACCTGCAAAGCCGCTTTTCATCACAAGGCTGCAGTCCCCAGCTCCGGGGCTCTGTGCTTTGGGAGTTAAACGCAGTGCGGACGTACCCGGAGGGACCTTGGTTCCGGCTGCAGTGGCTGTGAGTAACCTTGGCACCATCTGAGTTTTGGTTTTTTTATGATATTGACCGACAACACCAATGGTTATTTTAAGCCTTTTTATTTGCACGGATTGAAGTGTTCACAACTGCTGGCGGAGGAGGGAGGCCAGGCTCTGTAATGACAGCAGACGCGGTGATTCCCCGAGCTACAGCTTGCTACCGGTTGAAGCACTAACTGTCAACATCACCTGTCAGAAGCTACAGAGCCGGTAGCCTCAACTCTAACACTGACAAGGTTCTCGGGCAGCATTTTTCTTCTGTTGCCTGTAAATTCTCGTGATTGTGAGTGGAAACATGTTTCTATCAGTTGGCGGCGAGTGTGCGGGTCAATCGACATTTACTGATGCTGATTGAGAATACCGGTTGAAGCACTAACTGTCAACATCACCTGTCAGAAGCTACAGAGCCGGTAGCCTCAACTCTAACACTGACAAGGTTCTCGGGCAGCATTTTTCTTCTGTTGCCTGTAAATTCTCGTGATTGTGAGTGGAAACATGTTTCTATCAGTTGGCGGCGAGTGTGCGGGTCAATCGACATTTACTGATGCTGATTGAGAACCGGCAGC